GTAATAAGCAGAGAAATATATAGACTACCAGGTTTATGAAACTTTTTTTATTACTGTATAAAATTTTCAAATTGAAAATCTCTAGAATTAAGTTAAATCTCTAGTTGATGTATAATTAATACAGTGATATATTTGAGTCTAGAAATGAATTAGACATATAAAGCAGTACTTTTTAATTAGTATTGTCCTAAAGGACTTTCCAACATTTTAAAGTTACGTTTTAGAAAGTAGAAGTTATGTAAAATTTTTAGATAAAACAAATCCAAAAATATACATTTACAGTATTCAAATATGCCAACTTGAATCATAAAAATGAACTGATTACATACATAAAATTTCACAAAAAATATAGTTCTGAATTAGTATTGTCCTGATGACGTGTACTCTTAAGCATGTATTAAAATCAGCTATTTGAAGTTTTAAAATAAAAATTTGTTAATTTTTTTTTTCTGAATAAATTTATATACAATGCTGGGTTTTATAATTTTTATTCTAAAAATATTTATAACTTGGTAAAAAATTTTGAAACAAAAAAAAATATATACAGTAAATGAAATTTTTCTTTTTTCAATGTAAAAAAGTTGATCATGTTTAATTTTAACTTATCTTTCCTTAAATAAGAACTTTTTTGTGGTTGACCACACCTATAACCTATATTTATGGAACTCAAAATCATGTATAAACAGTGTTTTTTTGTGGCATTCATGCCATAAAGCTGTGTCACAAAAATTTAATGGCATGGCAATGATAGGTATCATTTTACTTGCCCTTCCATAAAATTTTTGTGGCACAGCTTTATAAAACTGGTGTTTATACATAATTTTGAGTTCCATAAGTATAGTGTTTATAGGTATAGTGTAACCACAAAATACTGTATAACAATTTGTTTATAATTAGTGATTATGACATTTTATGGAAATTGGCTCACTCTGCTCTTGTGCCAAACTTCCATGCCATAATTGCCTATATTATAAACTAATTGCATAATATACTATTTTTTACAATTTAAATTCAAATAATTAATCTAAAATATATTGATTTTTGAAGATAATTATAAGATAAAAAATGTTATTGATTTCAGATATTTTATTAGTACAATTGATCTAATCATATTATTTATCAAATTAATCATATCAAAAATATTATGTTATGAATTCATAATTTTTCAGTTATAATTATCAAATGATTTTATTTCTTTCAACCTTGAAAGATAAAAAATTTTATTTACTAGACAATTTATCATTATTAATTAATAAAAGATAGTTTTATGAAATTTTATCATATTTTTATTCTCATTTTCAAAATAAGTCAGAATTAATTTTATTGAATAACTTAGAACCAAAGAGAAATTTCTGATACATTTATAAATCAAAGATTATTTAATTTGTTAAATACTTTTGTAAATCAAAATTTGCATTTTTTGTAACTGCATAAATAAATTCAACATTTTACAATGTTTTATAAATATTTTTTCATCTTTGATGTTTATATCAGAAATACACAAAATATAAGCAGGGACTATTTTGAAAGTATTTGGAATATATTTTAAATTCAACATCAATCCAATGAAGCAGTAAAGCCATGAAAGTTTTATTTTAGATTACTACTATAGTAAGCATTTTTTTTTTTTTTTTTTTTTT